AGAAAAAAGAACAAAAAAATAAATAAATGAAAAAATCCAAGAAACTCAAGAAATCCAATAATTCAAAAAAATCAGAAAATCGAAGTTCGAAAAGTCGGAAAAATCTGCAAACTCCAAAAACTCCGAAAAAAATAAAAAACCAGAAAAATCCGAAGACATTTACGAAAATCTAAAAGAAATTACAAAAAGACATTAAATGCAAGGAACACAAGAAACACAAGAAATCCAATCCATTCAATTCCAAAGAATCCAAAGAATCCAAAGAATTCAAAGAATCCAAAGAATCCAAAGAATCCAAAGAATCCAAAGAATCCAAAGAATTCGAGGAATCCAAAGAATCCAAAGAATCCAAAGAATCTAAAGAATCCAAAGAATTCGAGGAATCCGAGGAATCCGAGGAATCCAAAGGATACAAAGGATTCAAAGAGTTCAAAGAGTCCAGAGAGTCCAAAGAGTCCAAGGAGTCCAAAGAATCTAAAGAATCCATAGAATCCATAGAATCCAAAAAATCCAAATAATCCAAATAATCCAAGGACTCCAATGAATCTTAAGAATCCAAAGAATCCAGAAAATCCAAAAATCAAAAAAAATCTAAACAATCCAAAAAAAACAAAAAATGCTACAAACCCAAGAAACTCAAGGAAACCAGTAATCCAAAAAATCGAAAACTTAAAAAAAAATTTAAAAATCGAAAATTTTAAAAACAAAAATTGAAAAATCGAAAATTATAAAATTATAAAAATTGAAAAATCGAAAAATCTAAAAGTGAGAAGTCGAAAAATCGAAAGATCGAGAAATCGAAACATCAAAAAAGTGAAAAATCTAAAATTTAAAAACTCGAAAAATATTGAAAAATCGAAAAAGTAACCATTAAAAAACCCAAAAGTCGAAAAATCGAAAAATTGAAAAATAACGAAATAGAAAATTGTCCCAAAAACTGAAACATCCAAACCTTGAGAAACCGAAAATTTGAGAAATCGAGAAATCTGAAATTTGAAATACAAAAAAAAAAACGATTAAAACAGAAATTAAGAAATCAAAAATATCGAAAATTCAGAAACACCAAAAATTGAAGACTTGAAAAATCGAGAAATTGAAGAATCGAAAAATTGAAAGACCGTAAAACCGAAATGTTGGAAAATTAAGAAATCGAAAAATAAAAAATCGAGAAATCCAAATTCGAGAAATCGAGAATTTGAAAAATCAATAAATTGAAAAATCCCTAAACAGCATTATCGAAAAATTGTAAATCGGAAATCAAAAATCTAAAATTTGATACAACGACAAATCGAAAAATTGAAGAATCTAAAAACTAAAAAATTGGGAAATTGAAAAATCCCAAAACTGAAATGTCGATAAATTGAAAATCGAAAAATTGGAAAATCAAAAATTTTGAAAATAGAAAAATTAAAATATCGAAAACTTGAAAAATCGAGAAATCGAAATCTGAAAACTGAAAAATTGAAAAATCAAAAATTCGAAAAATTGAAAAATTGAAATATCCAACAGAAAAATCGTAAAACCGAGAAATCGAAACCTCAAATGATCGAGAAATCGAGAAGTCGAAAAATTGAGAAATCCAAGTAGGCCAAAATCGAAAAACCGAAAAATCTGGAATTCGAAAAATCTAAAATTTTAAAAATTGAAAAATTAAAATATCGAAAATATGAAAAGTCGGAAAGTTTAAAAACCGGAAAAATGAATTATTGAAATATCGAATTGAAAAATCTAAAACCAACAAGTAGAAAAACCGAAAGATCGAGAAATCGACATATGTATCAAAAAACTGAAAAATTGTAAAATCTAAAAACTGTGAAATTAGGAAAATTTAAAAACCGAGCAATCGGAAAATCGAAATTGCAAAATTGAAACATCGAAATAGCCCAAAATCGAAAAAATGGAAAATCCATAGTTTGGAGCATTTAAACTTAAAAAAACCGATAAACTCGAAAAGTCAAAAAATCGAATAAAATCTCGATAAATCGAGAAATCGAAAAATTGGAAAATCAAAAGACTGAAAATCGAAAAATTTAAAAGCCGAAAAAACCAAGAAATCTAAAAGTGAGAAGCCGAAAAAACGAAAGATTGAAAAATCGAAACGTCGAAATGAGAAATCTAAAATTTGAAAGTTGGAAAAAAAAATTCCAAAATTGAAACATAAAAAACTTGAGAAATCGAAAAATTGAAAAGTCAAAAATTCGAGATATCGAAAAGTCGAACAATGAAAAAATCGATTAATCGAGAAATTGGGAAATTAAAAAATAGGAAATTTAGAAACGTCAAAATTTGGAAAATTGAAAGTCGAAACATTTTAAAAATGGAAAATTCAAAGAATTTAAAAATTGAAAAATCGTAAAATCAAAATATCGGAAAATTAAAAAAAAAATCAAAAAATAAGACAATCAAGAAATCGAAAATTCTAAAAATCGAAATGTCGATAAACTGAAGAATTCCCAAAATGAAATATCAAAAAATCGAAAAGCCGAAAAATCGAAAAATTATTAAAGTTTGTTTATTTTTCTAAAAAATTCGACGTTTAGAACAAAACTTGTGTTAACATTTAAATAACATTTATTGGACAAAATTGTAAAATGACATCATCAGTTCCTGGAGTTGTTATACAATTTTGATTTTTTCCCAACACGGATTTATAAACTACAAGATGAGGAGTACATTATTTTATGAAATTTAAATAACATACTATTGAAAAATTTGGAGATGACGTCATTCCATTGTTGTCATAGTTTTGGATATTATCTGTCTAGTAAAAACCGACACAGACAGACAAACGGATACACAGACGGACAGACTGACAATAAGCAGACGGAAATGGAGACCTATTTTTTGGTACTCTAGGGGTATTAAACGTCGAGAAAACGTGAAAGTATCCAGTCGCTCGATGCAGTCGATTACTATGCTTTCTTAGTTTACGCTGAGCAAGTAATAAAGACAAATTTTTAAACAAACGCGCCGTACATTTAAGTTGACATTTACTTACAATAGGTTGAAATGACGTCATCTTTTTTTTGTAAGTGACGCCATGATTACTAAAGGACACAGCTAAAACTCCACGAAAATAGATTTACCCAATTTGGCCACATTATAGCCACAATAACGTTAGTAGAAAACGCGGATTAAAAAGTTAAGAAAAGAGGTTAACGATAACATAAAGGAACACGTTTCGCCCGTAAACCCACTCCCAGACCCTCGTCAATCTCCCTTGCATGCCTCGCAATCTCACAAAGACGAAATCCGGCCCCAAACAGCGAATTACTTAAATAAACCAAGTTGCGGTTTGCGTGTGAAATTGACTAAAAGCTTCCTTTTCGTAATTCCTCAAAAAACCGCAATTCCACTCCTTCGAATAAGTCGCAACAACAATATCCGGAATCTTCCTCTAATTCTCCCGCGTTCCCTCGTTCCGGTCCTTTGTAATCTAATTTCGCTCGTTTGTAACATGAGATCTCTGCTTCAGGTACAAAACGATGAACTCACCTCAATTTCCTCGTTGAAACGCGTTTACACATTTTACACCCGAAGCCGATATTACCGAAGCTTTGTTCGTGTAAATAGATCTTCCAGTCCTCGCATTTTTCCCGTTCAAGGTCCCTCGAAATGCCCAATGTCGTGTCTCGCAGTTGTTCAATTGTATTTTTTCTTCCGTATTTTATGTTGATTGTGGAAGTCGCTCGAAACGGCATTTCTGCAATTTGTTCCAAGCAAATATTTGTCGCTTCGGAGGCAGGTCAAGGGTGAAACGCAAGAGATCGCAACAAAGGGAGAAAAACCCTCAATAATACACCGTGTGTGGAGCACAATAGGGAAGTTAATTTAGCCAGATGGTTAAATCGAGATTGTTTCTCGTGAGGGCTAAATTCGGAATCGCAGGGGCGAACTGAAACCAGTTTTTACGTCGACGGTAATTAAAACAAACACGATGAAATAATAACCGTTTGCTACTGATTGCTTTGACCTCTGACCGATGGATCCTATTTCTGTCACTGCAGCTGGTCGAATACGAAAAAAAAAATTCATTGAATCGCGAATCGCTCTGTATAGTGTAATTCGACGCATCTGAAAGCTTAGAAATACAACCCAAGATAAATAAAAACTCGAGGACCCGGATTTTCCTTGAATGCTTCTAAAGCCACACGTAATTATCCATCGGCACTATGCGGGCCATTCAAGCACCCACAAAGAGTCTCCAGAAGGGTTGGAAAATATCAAATAAGCTCGCGTTCAGATAAGAGCACGCTCGAGCAGAAAGATTCTCCTCCTGGCACGATTTTCGTTTACTTGTAATTTATTCGTAATAGAGTCGAACGTGGGCCTCCTGGGGCGAAGTTTAGCAGGAGCAGCAAGCAAGTAATTAAGTTTAACTAGGATCCGGGAGAAGTTCATTCCGGGATCCGGATTTTGTCCAAAAATCAAATTTAAAGTGCGGCGGAATCATGCCAAGGGTGAGATATTCCAGAAATGATAACCTATTCACGTAACTCTAACGCCATTAAGCGCGAGCCAACGACGGTGTAATGCGTTGAAGAGGGTGGAACTGGCAGTGACAAATCCCGGAATTCTTCCCCTTTTAGATTTAAACAGTCTGGAATTATACGACGTTCGAACTCTGAACTTTACGTCACACTAAACCGCCCCAATAAAATTTTTCTTTATGTGTGTGTGCGAGTGTGTGTGTGTGTCCGGTGGTGTTGTGGCCGTAATTCACACCGTTATTGTTCGCAACCCTCCCACGAAAGCCAATTAAGACCAAGAACCATCCCTAATTGCCTTATGGGCGCGTTGGAACGGGTTCGAATCGCTCATCTCGAATTTATGGGTCGCTGGTGCGAGGGGGTTAATCGCCGGCGTAAAGCTGTATTGTATCGCTTGGCTGGAGCTAAATAGATCAAGGAAACTGGGTTTTTTGCGTTTTACGCCACCGAGAGACTGTTAGATAGTTATTTAATAATAATAATAATAATAATGGTTTTGTGGGTTTGAAGGTGGTGATCGGGGGTTCCAACCTGGACTGCTCGGTGAAGCTACAGGTGGAGGAAATCAAGGTAAGTACTAACAATACACTTTATTAAATAGATATATACATCATCTTGTATCTTGTACATGTGTGATAACATGAAATAGCTCTTTTAACAATGATACATAAAATCTATGCGCTCTAGGTGGCGCCAATCAATCGGGAAGCTTAAATAAAGTCGATAATTTTGTTGGTCTAGTGAATTTTTTTCTGTTGGCTGCAGCGACCGACTCGGTTGTTCTTTTCGTTGTTTTTTTCTCATGTTAGTATGTTGACATCTAATTTAAAAGGGCGATGATTTATTTGCGCGTTATCGAGATAATAAATCGCCCCTCTGTACACTAAACACATCGAATTTACATTTTATCAATATTTATAACTATTTGGTGTTCGATTGGTTCAGTTATTAGATACCTAAATTTACAACGTTTTAAATTATGGTTAGAATATAGTTTAATAATAATGGTTATAGCACTTCTAATCTAGGCATTTAGTTTTAAACGTGATTTTCCTTTAGTGTTGTTTTATGTTAGTCTAATTATGATACAATGTCTCTAACTCTACTCGTCATATAAAACGGCTTTGTACTTTACATTACTTAGAACGCCCTAATAAGCTGTAATAAGTGTCTGTTTTAGTTTATAACTGCGTATTTAGTATGTTATTATTAGGTCTATTAGTTAGAGTAATGATATTATGTTAGGGTGGCACGTGGGGGTTGCTTGGTGGTGGCAACCCCTACGGCCGCATGTAAGACTATTTTTCTCTAGAAAATAAATCATGGTCAAATTCCGATTTTGCTCAGTCGAGAAAACCGCCCTTTTCTGGAGAAATACCCGCAAGCGTGGACGTAGCAACGTTGACCCGAAGGACTGGTCTCTGTTCTATGTTCATTCTTAAGAAAAGACTCGCTTTGTTGGTGTTTTCTATGAGTGAAATGGTCTAAGCTACTCCACGTTTGTAAGTATCTCCCTCTACGTTGTCTCTCCTTAGTTGCACATTTAGATACCTCGTGGTATAAATTCCGTCACTTAGAATATGCCGTTTCGGCCGTTCTATCTCTCCTCCGTTCCGTTTTTGCGCGTCCGGCTCTTACAAAACATCCTTCTACGATCCATCAAGGGATCTTTTGGCAACTTGGTCGGCCGCCGCAGCTCGTTACTTCCGACTGGTCGGTTTTTCATTCATGAACTGAACCAAGCCGAGATCAGATAATATTGAAGGCATGCGATGCGAGTACGAGGAGAGAGATGAAAAAAAACCCTTCTTAGCAAACGCAAACTTCGCCGTTTTAGACCAGAATGCACTTCGACAAACTCCTAAGTTGCTTAAGGCGAGGCACTATTAGTAAATAAGCTCATATAAACACACTCGTCGAGCGTCCTTCGACAGTGTCACTCTCCTCCCTGGAAAAGGTACCGGTCTTTGGATTCACCACTGTGTAGTCCGTAGTTCGTCGCGCTATATACACTGTACACTGAGGAATGTGGAGAAGCAAAACGAAAGGTATAACGTGTGTGAAAATCAGCACTACCGCGTCGCTATCATACAAAATCGCCGGCTCAGCACGGGTCGTCCTTGACCCGGCTCGTCCTCGGCTTGCGCTTGAAGATCTCCTCCAGGGGCGTGGCCAGAGGACCCTTCTTCACGCGGCCCCAGCGGCCGCGGTTGAACAGGCCCTCCAGGCGATACTTTAGTCAAATGTTCTCGTGGCTCCTGTACTCCCGCATCTCGTAGTTGTTGTTCCCGTTGGGGTTCTTCGTCTGGGTCGGCGGCGACGACAGCAGCGCGGCGCTCTCCGGCCGCACCAGCAGGCTCTCGCGCTCGCTCTCGGCGCTCTCGGCGCGGATGGCCCCCGGCACGGCGCCGTTGGCGTTGGTCAGCTCCATCTCCGTCCTCAGAATGCGGATCTTCTGGATCATCTCCCGGATCTCGTAGCGCAGAATCCCGAGGAAGCACAGCTTGAGGAAGGCGAGCACGCAGTAGCCGAGGATGGCGAGCACCGACGCCGTCGCCTTGAGGTAGGCGAGCAGGCGCTCGTCGCAGCCCGACGCGTGCGTCCTGGCGCACTTGGTGCCGTTGGCCACCGGCGGCTCCAGGCAGCAGCTGGCCGGGATCTCCCAGCGGCTGTTGTTGAACTCGGCGGGGCCGCTCACGCCGCAGCACGAGTCCTCCTCCTGCAGGCGGTCCCACATGGCGGTCATCTCGCCGCCGCCGCCGTACTCGTCCTGGAACCTGAACGCCAACGTAAAAAGAAACGAGGATAATCGAATCTATACCCGTACATTCTTCGCAGCTCGGGCCTGAGCTCCTGGCAGATGCGCGGGAACTTGAAGGCCCAGAAGGCGCCGAGGACGACGTCGCCGAACAGCAGCACGAGCAGCAGCATCCAGTAGGCGTTGAGCAGCTTCTCGGAGAGGCGCAGCGCGGCCACGCACCCGAGCAGCTGGAGGGCGCCGCCTTGCGTGGCCAGCGCCAGGTAGGCGTAGAGGAAGGAGGGCTGGTACAAGGTCAGCGACGGCACCAGCGACCTCCTGAAGTCGAACAGGACCGTTCTGGCGGCGGCCCCGCAGAAGGCTAGAGCGCCGGCCAGAAGTGCGGTGTTGCAGGTGTAGATCCAGAGGCGGTAGTAGCGCATGGCCCTGCCACCCAGCCCAGAGGCGCCCGTTGCCACACCACCACCGGCACGTCGTAGCGGCATTCGCCTACGAAGCCCCCCCTCAGTCGCACCGACACCCATCGCCCCCCATGCACCTGAAAAAAGAAACGGAAGACAATTAAGGGCGACGCTCTCGAAATGGAAGCTCGGAGGTAATGGACATCGGGGATTTATTATCGGCGAGTGCGCGCTAGCTAGCGCCGTAATAAATTACCATGGGAAAAATTAATGTTTCCAAGTTGTTTTTCTGTCTCACGCAAATTATGTTGCCGGATTCGTATAAATCACGACGGCGCGATTTAATTATTGTTATGGTATTGATGGCGTGGGTGGCGAGGTCGGGGGATTAATGTAGTTTTGAGAAATCTCGCAGGGTTTGGCCTCCCCAGTGACCTATGGAACTCAATTTCAATTTTTATTTTAGACACGCCACTGACGCCGAGATGTATTGATTACATTAATAAAGCATCCGCTATTATTACGTATGCTGACAGTAGTTATATAGTGGGGCTCCTAGCCCAATTTGACCTCAATTGACCTTGTCCGAAGGCGTTCTGTGATTGTGTTGTGCTATATCCTCACTATCCCCTCAAGTAGAGTAGTACAGATTTATAAATAAAACAACTAAGTTCTCGGGAGAGAGCGAGGGTTCGAATCCCACAGCTGACAATTTTGCAATTCTGCATATTCGTTAGAGAAATGCAATTCAGCAAATTTGTTTTGCGTTTAAATAAAACCCACTTTAATGTTATGTTATTTATTGAGAAAATATTGAATGCAGCAGCAGTACAGAGTCATCAAAATTGATTGAGAGAGTTGGTACTCCCTGTTTTTGTCGTGAAGTTTGTCAACCTTATAACAGATTTGTTTAAGGTAATGTGGCAATGAATTCAGTGGCGTGACAAGAGAACTGGGGGTTGATTGTCGAACTCACCTGAATCAGTTGCGGATACAAAAGTTACCTTCTTGCAAAGTTGCGAACGGTTTTAATGTTTGTACGAATCGCTTTGGTCGATGTGCATCCTATTATTGCTACTCACATATTAGGAAACGCAGTCGAACAAATCTCAAATTCGGAACTTCAAATCTGAGAACTAATTTTTTTTTACCAAAAAAATCGAAAAAAGACGCCACTGAGTTTTGAAATTTGAAACTTGAAACTTCAAATCTAGCAGCTAATATTTTTATACAACTTAATAAACCAAATTACTCAAGTTCAGGTTTACCAACTCTCTCAATCAATTTTGATGACCCTAGTATTTTATAAGATATGACTGATTCTGACATTTTTGACCATTTTTGAACCATTTTCGAAAATTAGCTAAACATTTTCTTGTAGATTTCGACATCTAGAAGTCATTTTAGGCTTCGTTTCTTCGAAAATTTCTATCGTTATCTTGATTAGATAAGACTGTTTTTGGCAAATGACATTATCTTCCAAGAAAACAGAGGGTGGGTGGGTGGGGCTAGTATTTTATAAGATATGACTGATTCTGACATTTTTGACCATTTTTCAACCATTTTCGAAAATTAGCTAGACATTTTCTTGTAGATTTCGACATCTAGAAGTCATTTTAGGCTTGGTTTCTTCGAAAATTTCTATCGTTATCTTGATTAGATAAGACTGTTTTTGGCAAATGACATATCTTCCAAGAAAACAGAGGGTGGGTGGGTGGGGCTAGCATTTTATAAGATATGACTGATTCTGACATTTTTGATAATTTTTCAACCATTTTCGAAAATTAGCTAGCCATTTTCTTGTAGATTTCGACATCTAGAAGTCATTTTAGGGTTCGTTTCTTCGAAAATTTCTATCGTTATGTTGATTAGATAAGACTGTTTTTGGCAAATGACATATCTTCCAAGAAAACAGAGGGTGGGTGGGTGGGGCTAGCATTTTATAAGATATGACTGATTCTGACATTTTTGATAATTTTTCAACCATTTTCGAAAATTAGCTAAACATTTTCTTGTAGATTTCGACATCTAGAAGTCATTTTAGGCTTCGTTTCTTCGAAAATTTCTATCGTTATGTTGATTAGATAAGACTGTTTTTGGCAAATGACATATATTTGCTGTTATAAGAGTGATTTTGGCAAATGATACACCTTCTAAAATAATATAGGACGCATGGGCAGAGCTAGTACTTGCCAAAATAATACTGATTTCAGCACTTGCCCTTCATTTTCTTAGAGAATAGGCCAATATCAGTCTTATCTTATTAGGCACTAGCCCCACCCACCCACCCTCTCTTTTCTTAAAGGATATGTGATTTGCAAAAATCAGTCTTATCTTAGCAGGTACTAGCCCCGCCCGCCCACCCTCTCTTCTCTTGGAGCGTATCTCATCTGCCAAAATCAGTCGTATTTTGACAGTTACTAGCCTCGCCCACCCACCCTCTCTTCTAGTAGCTGCTAAGATAAGGCTGATTTTGGCAAATGACATACCCTCTAAGAAAAGAGAGGGTGGGTGGGCGGGGGTGATATTTGCTGAGATAAGAATGATTTTGGCAAATGACATAGCTTCTAAGAACATAGAGGGTGAGTGGGCGGGGCTAATATTTGCTGAGATAAGGGTGATTTTGGCAAATAATATACCTTCAAAAAAACAGAGGATGGGTGGGCGGGGCGAATATTTGCTGTTATAAGAGTGATTTTGGCAAATGATACACCTTCTAAAATAATATAGGACGCATGGGCAGAGCTAGTACTTGCCAAAATAAGACTGATTTCAGCACTCGCCCTTCATTTTCTTAGAGAGTAGGCCAATATCAGTCTTACCTTATATATTTGAGAAATTGACACACTTGTCATAATTTTGAGAGCACGACGAAAAATTGCCTTCAGTGATGGGAACATCGCAATCGTCGAAGCGCGTTAATTCGGGGCGGCTTGTTTTTGAAGCTCTCCAGCCCCCATTTAAAAGCAGCAATTAATAAAAAATGCGTGCCCCCACGCACCGGATGTTTAATTACGCCGTCCCATGCATTACTAACGACAATCATCCGAGCAAATTTTCCCCTGTCGAAGCGTTTTTAAAAATGGACAAATTGCGCCGAGTCAGCAAAAACAACAATGGAATATTCAAGGGGCCGATAAAATATTTGCGCGTCTTTTTGATGCGCCGAGCTCATTAAGATCGTCCCGATAGAGTTCCTGACTTCTCCTTTTTGGCGTGTAGAGGACTTTCCGGGATCAATAGCCGTCTGATCCTGCGTTGGCAATTAAATACCACAAGATTTCCGGCCCTTTGCGGTCACATGTCGGGGACTTGGGGCCGGTCCAGGCGCATGTAAATGACGACAGAGTCAGGCACACTATCGATTACTCTGGAAACTCAACACACATCCTCCCGGTGTTGACCTTTGCGGAAGCATGAAGGAGAAATTCCGGCGAAAAAATTACAGAAAACCTGTTTCCAGTTTCGGAGCATCAATCAATCGCCTCCTCGGACTTTATCACACGTTGTTTCCGTTCTCTAAGCTCGAGATATTTATAGACGCCGCGTTATCTCGGTTATCTTCTTTATGATAGGAATAGGACGCCTGCAGGGCTCGTTTTCTTGGAGTACGTGGCGGCGAAAAATATTAGGGTCTTCGCAAATTAGGCTACATTAAGAGAATTTACGGCCGACGCCGTCGGTTATCTGATAAATTTATTAATATACTCATTGCTGTGTAAATCTAATTAACATCCGAGGGTTTGCCGCTTTTTTCGAGGTCCTTGTTAAGGAGGGAAAAATACGACGACTTGGTGTTGCGACGACGCTCTCGAGCGCGCGGGTTTATTACTCAAAAATGGCCACCCGTCGGGCATTAATTTTTCATTATTCGCCACCGGATTTCTCCGGCAGCTATTGGAAGCACGACCGGAAAAATCGCGGAGGTAGAGGAAACCTGAAATTTAGTCGCGCTCGGTTGACAGCGGCTCCATTTCGAGGGAATATCGATACCGAAGGGACGGAATCGATTACTTATGTTTGTATTTTGAAGAGAGTCCTCAGGTAGCCCTAATCCCACTATCCTTCGGACAAAACCGGGACGATTTTCCTTGTTTCGACGAGCTGATTGGTCCGATCTAATTATTATTCATTGGGTATATCTGGATCGGCGATATTAGGGTCAGTTTGTGACCACCGTATGGGCTTTAATATCCAACTTGTTGCAAGGTCCGCATTCGGACTCTTCCTTTTCTAACCACTGACGAATTGATTAAATCGCCGGCTGGGACTTCTGTGGGTTATGTTGTGCATTTCATTATACGAGTACTATTTTTTGCCAGTTCTGCGGTTCAAGTCGTAAAAGTTGTTATTGTCTCGAAACCACTCCGCATAAAACTTGAAAGTGGATTATGACAAAACCGCAATTTTTAATTCACGACGAAAATCGAACAAAAGTTTTTCTGTCGCTGAATTCTTTTACTTTTAAAAGAGTTGTAGACATGCAAATACCCAACCATAAACCGCCCAGGACGGAAGTAATTCGTATAAAAACGGGACACTTCGCCGTGCTAATAACTCATAAAATTAACAAAAAGTCTAGATCCATTATGGAAGCACGTCTCAAGTGGACTTTCCCGGTTTAATCAAACTCTGATTACGAAGAGGAAAGTAATATTTTTCCGTCCGAAAGCGTCTAATCGGAGATGCTTCTGGGTTAATTATTAAACATGGCGTCGTCAGGTTGGAGCGTCTTACACTTCTTATTCTTATTTTTCAAAGATAATTCTCGTTTCTGAGGAAGCTCGGAGTTACTTTTGTCGAACTTCTGGAAAGTTTGAGCGCAGTTCCGTCGTAAAATTTCGAGGGAAAATTATCGACTTCGGGAGTCGGGCGATTATGTGTTCAGGGACAAAGTGACCTCGAAAGTACACGGCTGGTAACACAGTTTCGGAAGATATTGACGTGTGAACAAAGCGCTTTAATTTATTATAACGTCAATTAATAGTTGCTGTTGTTAAGAAAAGAACAAGTAATTTGAACCTTCGACGATACCCTAGAGGTTTATCGATGGAAAAACAATGCAAGTGATTGTGTTAGTTTTGTGGAAAATCAGCGCATACTTTTGAACTGTCGAAACTGTGAACTTCTATGATAAATTTCTCGGTTATTACAACCGCAAATAGTTTCGGTCTACATCTACATCCCCGAGTAGCTCCATCATCCACATAATAACTAAATCCGACGCAGGCCATAATTCAAATGCTAAGCATAAAATACACCCTAATCGAAAAATCGATGCGTCTGCAGAGTACACAGGCAAGGAACATCCAATCTATTGAAAACCTACTAAATAAGAAGTCCTTGTCGTTCCTCCCCAAATCCGATTAAAGTGACGACTCGACATGGGTAATTCCGGTTCACGCATTCCGCGGAGGACCCAATGAAGCGCTAACCCTCGAATTGCTGTAGTTATTCTTTGCACAGCTTGAGTGTTCTAATTCGATTAGACTCACCTGAAACGTCGCCTATTACCCTCGTTACTTAGATTCGCCCGTTTAGCTATTTTCTTTAGGGTTAATTCAATTAGGGCACAGGCAATCTAATTTAAAATCAAAGCACTGCTACGGCACTCGCTCCCAAATTTAATACTCGGACGTTCTTTGAACGAATTTTTATTCGAAAGGATAGTCGAGACGCGTGCCAAATCAAACGTCCTTAGGAAAGCAGCGAGCGAACAAGTGGAACGTTTGTTTAATTTTATTGGGCCAATTTGAATAGCTCGAAAGCGGGAAATTTAAACGCTTCCGATCAATTTAATCTCGCTGAAATATGGGGCGTGCCGACTTAATAACGGGGTGTTTAATAAGCTCGCCGTTTTATTAGCCCGCGTTGTGCACAACTGACGCATAAGGCGAATTTGTCAAAGCGCGCTTCGATCCTTGTTATTTACGTTTAATTCGTAATTTCGAATCGGGACGCCACGATGGGGGTCCAAAACCGCGCGTTCGGATCTTGCGGGCGGAAGAATCGAGTGCACGTGACGTCACGATTCACCGACAAGCCCCATTGACTGGTTGAAAATACCCGAAAGCGTCGAGTTCGCGCTTCAACTCTCCGGACTCGATTTTTACTTTCGATTCAAAGCCTCTGCAACCCTATCCAGGTCAGCAAACATCGGCGTCGCATTGTACTCGTCGCCCGTTCTTTTATTTATCCTGGCAGGCCCATAATCGCGCAAATAACCCTTAAGACTCCCGTAACGGCGACATTATCAAATTTGACATTCAGATTTTATAATGTCCGTAAATATTTAACGGTGCCGAGCAGTAACACCGACGCCCCATCTAATAACGCGCCCTGGGATAAGTTTTATGGGGCGAATACCCTTTTCGCTGCTTTATTGCCGCCTTAATTAAATGAAAGCTTTTTTTATAGATGGCGTGACCGTCTAGCGAATCTGCATGTGTGTCGTGCTCGCGCTTAATGAATTGCGATGTAACGATGCGACGCTTTTAGCATTTCTGCGATCGGGGGAGCGATTCCGGCGATCGGGAGTCAATCGCGGGGCTTAGATCCTTTGATATTGCATTAAAAGGTTTTTTATTCGATGAATAAACATGAGTTTCACATGAGGTAATCCGATTTATCGATTTGCGGCGGAAGGCGGCTTCCGCAGTCGCCCCGAATTGATTTGGGATTTGAGTGACATTGGGTTCGGGGATCTCAGATTATTGCTTGATGGAAACGCGATTGACACCTCCACGTGCGCGCCCCAATATTCTAATATCGACCGACGAACTCATTACATGTGTGGGCTTTTCATATCCTGACGGAACGTCGGCGGTAGCGAGGGATAACCCGACGGAGCGGGCTTGCGGTCTTAGCCTACTAGAACCCCTATGAACTTTAACGTAGTGGTATTAACCTTGTCATACGAATACCGACCACAGACAATCTTTTGTTTGGTACTTGCGCCATATATCTGAAAATCATACAATGGGGCCCTTCTTTATCGTTAAGACATAAGGACAGCAACGTTACAAAGACTTCCACACATGAAACATGTTCGACGCCATGGAACATCGTACCGTTGATGGAAATGGCGCGCCAGCATACGCACGCGTCACGCCAGGGTCCCGCCGCCATGTAATAATAGAGTCGAAAGTCAACTTGGTTATTGGACCTGGGCCAAAATGACCTCCCTCAACTTAAAGGTGGCCCCGAACGAAACCTATTGATTCATCTCGTAAAATGTCGAGTCTAAGGTTAATGGCGGTGCTCAGATCGGTACCGACCATGAATGCAAAGCGCTCCGTAACAACGCTCCCCCCCCCCATTTCACGTATTATTGGTTGTCTAACGGTCCGGGCGATGACGCCAGCCAAGGTAAGGAAAGCCCCGAGTAAATAATTCTTTCCACCCTCCGGCGGGCTTTACGTCTGACGTCAAAGCCAACAAATCATCATCAAGCGATTCTTACGTTTCGAATTTACGACTCTCTCGGTCGCTTCACATTTTTACGAAATAAGAATTTTGACAGGAACGCCGATCCCATTTTTCACATGATAGGTATTAAAAGAGAAAACCGATCAGACGCAAGAAGCAAATCGATAAATCTGTCAGCCGGCGTGAGCGGAAAAAAGTGCAACTGTTTGTTTTTTCTTGGGGAAACTTGGAAACTCCTCGCGTTGTTGTTTGCATGTCTAGACTGGATCCGACGCGCGAACAATGCAACATTAGGATTGAAACAACATATTCACTAGAGCGATAAAAACACATTTCGCCACAGCGCAGAGGAGCAGCAGATTCATAACGGAAGGACGTGCGCTGAATGTTGAGCGGCGTGTACGTCAAGTCACGTGACGGTTTTATTCGCGCTACATAACCTACAAAGACGTGTGTGGGAAGAGCTTCCTGGTGCTAATTGCGCGGAGGATATCGATTCGCCCATTGTCCGAGCCCTCGCAGCGATGATGACATCGCTGACATCGATACCATTAATATTGTTGCCGGCGAGCACAAAGAAACTGAAAGCCGCCCATAAAAGAACCGTCCCTTTGTGGCCTAATAGGCGGCTTTTCTTCCGGTGATTTAAATTATTCACGGGGTTTATCGAGCGTTTTGTCGGCGTGATTAACACGACAGGGCGACAACACGAAGAAAAATGGCGCCCGAGCTGTGTCACGAAGCGTCGTACATCTCACTACTGCTGGCGTTCCCGCTACATATGAATAGGCGACGTTCGTCGAGATTCTTTGTCCATTATTTAAGACGCAATTAGCAGTCACGTTAGTTCCGAACCCATCCCACGTACCACCACTTCATTTTTCTTTCACGCACTTATCTTCTTCAATTAAAAATTTACGACAATCGAGGCAATTAATTTTCGTTATCGTTGTCTTTCCACTTTCTCCGTGCCCCTATAAGACCAGTTTCATTATTTCCCCCCGAGAGTATCCGACTCGGGTCAATTGGTGCACGGAAGTTCGCGTTACCCCGGTGCCGACCTTGACGTGATCCTTCGACGTTAAAATCAAAACATTACGGCCCCGCATCGAACTACACTTTTTATCTGTTTGTGAACGTCTCTCCTGTAGGGTCCACGCGAATTCGATCGGGCTCAGATCCGGTCGCTGCGCGGCTCGTCACGTTTTAAATCTGCGGATGTCGCCTAAATCTCTCCGGCTTTTCGGTTTTTCATTAAGCGTCGCGTTCGTGGGCGTCCAAAGCCGACGCCCCGAATCTACGGTATTATGTGGATTTTGAAGAGTTGTTTACATCCCGGCGCTGAACAAACACGAAATTTTTAATAATTGATCAAGTCGAATCCCCAGTCAGTCCATTATCGAATTTATTCGGCGATAAAATAGAGCCGAATTACGCATGCACACCGTTCGAAAAAACTAATTACGGCTCTGTTCGTTTGCACTTATTTATTGATCGTCACGTCGCGAGAAATGAAAACCCAATCAACGGAATTCGACGTCTCGTCAAAATTGTAAATTGAATCGGACGAGTACGGACCTGGGTTGGGTCGATAATTTAATAATGAAACCATTCGGATCTATCATCCTTCAACAAATAATTACGTTTCGGTTTTTCGACGGATCATCGGCGTGATTAAGGGCTGGAGAGGGATGATTGATGGAGGGTTGTTAGTGCGACGAACAAGAAGGCGCGGTATCGACGGAAAATTGCACTGGTTCCTTTAGGGCCAGCTAACCCCTTTATGTTTAAAATAACACCGGGGTTGTTAACACTCACCTCTAACCCATCGAACGCTCTGTTAATGCGCCTCACAACCCCGTTAGTGTTACGGCGGTAATTAATTTCGCGTTTAACCTGTATCGGTCGTGCGCCGCTTCTCAATTACGGGGTCGCTATTACTGTTGCGGCGTACTTATTCAGATAAGTCCGGCGAATGGTCGTGAGTGGTTGCGCAGCGCCACCTGTCAACGACTAGCCGCCTTAATTACCTTTCTTTTCTACTGGTTAAGTTTTTGTCGTTTCATTCCCAAAGTGCAGCTGCTTAATCCCTCTCGTCTCGTCCGTGTATCCGGGATCTGTGCCTCTTTTTCGGGCTGGAGTGTCTGAAAACAACGACAACGTTTAAATCCGACGAAAAACTTAATTAAACAGAGTGAGAAATTCGATAATTAAAGAATAAACGGGTCTGTCTCTTTTTCGACCGATCATAATTTCGCATTCTGGCGGCGTAGCGATATAATAAAGATTTGTTTTAATATTTTAAAAGGCTTCGAATCTACGGTCTCCCGGTTTCGGCGGTCCAATTAGCTTATATTATTTGAGAGAAATGTGCTCGTATTCCCGGTCGTGACTTGAATTAAATTAAAGCAAATTTCAACTTTGATCAATCGATGGTGAAATGAGGATTCACGTCTCAAAGGTTCTTAGTTTGATGGCAGGTTCTATTAGGTAACAGCGTGGATTACTTGTAGAACAGGGAGTTCGTTTGTGGGAACGAGATTGCGCTACTTGGAAAGTTATTAACCGAAGTAAAAAGTTTCGGGTTCAAAACACCGGGAATTAGTTGGTATTTTACATTTTTTGTGTATGTTTTTAGACGGTTCGAGTAAATAGTTGGCAATAAAAAACGTAAATTAGATTTTTTTTAATTGATTTGAGGGGCTTTCATTTTGTTCATTAAAACGAATTTTTCTGCGTTGTTAGTAAAGATACGACGAAAATAAACGCAGATCTGTGATTCAGAGAAAAATTCCGATCAGAATAAGCCAATTTCGGGCCAATTTGATTAACTTTATATTTATGTAGAAAAATGGTGGAGGCGTCGGGTTAATAATTAATTTTGAAATCGTTTATTTCAAGAGTCAGTGAGAAATGTTTTCATCAAAAGCTGTATTTTAGAAGCAATTATGTTTTTCTTTAAGCATCTTTACATTTAAACTCAAATAACAAATCTAGCACAGCTTTGAATCAAATTAAACGACAATTGTTTTGAACTGATTTGACTAACTTTACCTGTGTTTATTAAAATGTGTTTTTTTCATTACTTGTGAACATACAGGGAAAATAAACAGAGATCTGGGATTCTCAGATAATTTCTGATAAGAATGACCCGCCTGTGGTCGAATTTGACGAACTTTATATTTTTGTGGAAAAATGATGGAGGCGCCGGGCTAATAATTAATTTTGAAATCGTTTATTTCAAGAGTCAGTGAGAAATATTTTCATCAATAGCTGTATTTTAGAAGCAATTATACTTTTCTTTAAGCATCTTTATATTTAAACTCAAACAAAAATCTAGCACAACTTTGAATCAAATTAAATGACAATTGTTTTGAACTGATTTGACTAACTTTACCTGTGTTCATTAAAATGTGTTTTTCTTCGTTGATTGTAAACATACGGGAAAAATAAACATTCATCTGTGATTCTGAGATAATTTCTGATAAGAATAAGCAACTTGTGGTCGAATTTGAAGAAGTTTATATTTTTGTAGAAAAATGGTGGAGGCGCCGGGTTAATAATTAATTTTGAAATCGTTTAATTCAAGAGTCAGTGAGAAATGTTTTCATCAAATGTGGATTTTAGAAGCAATTATGCTTTTCTTTAAGCATCTTTACCTTTAAGCTCAAATAACAAATCTAGCACATCTTTGAATCAAATTAAATGACAATTGTTTTGAACTGATTTGTCTAACTTTACCTGTGTTCATTAAAATGTGTTTTTCTTCGTTGATTGTAAACATACGGGGAAAATAAACATAGATCTGTGATTCTGAGATAATTTCTGATAAGAATAAGCAGTTTGTGGTCGAATTTGAAGAAGTTTATATTTTTGTAGAAAAATGGTGGAGGCGCCGGGTTAATAATTAATTTTTAAATCCTTTATCTCAAGAGTCAGTGAGAAATGTTTTCATCAAATGATGGATTTTCGAAGCAATAATGCTTTTCTTTAAGCATCTTTCCCTTTAAGCTCAAAGAACAAATCTAGCACATCTTTGAATCAAATTAAATGACAATTGTTTTGAACTGATTTGACTAACTTTACTTGTGTTCATTAAAATGTGTTTTTCTTCATTGATTGTAAACATATGGTGGAAATAAACAGATCTGCGATTCTGCGATAATTTCTGATAAGAATAAGCAACTTGTGGTCGAATTTGACGAAGTTTATATTTTGTAGTGAAATGGGGGAGGCGCCGGGTTAAAAACCAATTTTGAAATTGTTTATTTCAAGAGTTATTAAGTAATGATTTCATCAAATGATGGATTTTAGAAGCAATTATGCTTTTCTTTAATCATCTTTACATTTAAAGTCAAATAACTAATCTAGCACGTCTGTGAATCAAATTAAATCACAATTATTTTGAACTGATTTGACTAACTTTACTTGTGTTCATTAAAATGTGTTTTTCTTCATTGATTGTAAACATACGGGGAAAATAAACATAGATCTGTCATTCTGAGATAATTTCTGATAAGAATAAGCAGTTTGTGGTCGAATTTGACGAAGTTTATATTTTTGTAGAAAAATGTTGGAGGCGCCGGGTTATTAATTAATTTTGAAATCGTTTTTTTCAAGAGTCTTTAAGAAATGATCTCATCTAATGATGGATTTTAGAAGCAATCATGCTTTTCTTTAAGCTTCTTTACATTTAAACTCAAATAACAAATCTAGCACAGTTTTGAATCAAATTAAATGACAATTGTTTTGAACTGATTTGACTAACTTTACTTGTGTTCATTAAAATGTGTTTTTCTTCATTGATTGTAAACATACGGGGAAAATAAACTTAGATCTGTAATTCTGAGAAAATTTCTGATAAGAATAAGCAGTTTGTGGTCGAAATTGACGAAGTTTATATTTTTTGTAGAAAAATGGTGGAGGCGCCGGGTTAATAATTAATTTTGAATTTTTTGTTTCAAGAGTCTTTAAGAAATGATTTCATCAAATGATGGATTTTAGAAGCAATTATGCTTTTCTTTAAGCATCTTTACATTTAAACTCAAATAACAAATCTAGCACAGCTTTGAATCAAATTAAATGGCAATTGTTTTGAACTGAATTGACTAACTTTCCTCGTGTTCATTAAAATGTGTTTTTCTTCATTGATTGTAAACATACGGGGAAAATAAACATAGATCTGTGATTCTGAGATGATTTCTGATAAGAATAAGAAGTTTGTGGTCGAATTTGAGGAAATTTATATTTTTTGTAGAAAAATGGTGAAGGCGCCGGGTTAATAATTAATTTTGAAATCGTTTATTTCAAGAGTCTTTAAGAAATGATTTCATCAAATGATGGATTTTAGAAACAATTATGCTTTTCTTTAATCGTCTTTACATTTAAACTCAAATAACAAATCTAGTACAGTTTTGAATCAAATTAAATGACAATTGTTTTGAACTGATTTGACTAACTTTTCTTGTGTTCATTAAAATGTGTTTTTCTTCATTGATTGTAAACATACGGGAAAAATAAACATTCATCTGTGATTCTGAGATAATTTCTGATAAGAATAATCAGGTTGTGGTCGAATTTGACGAAGTTTATATTTTTGTAGAAAAATGGAGGCGTCGGGTTATTAATTAATTTTGAAATCGTTTATTTCAAGAGTCTTTAAGAAATGATTTCATCAAATGATAGATTTTAGAAGCAATTAGGCTTTTCTTTAAGCATCTTTACATTTAAACTCAAACAACAAATCTAGCACAGCTTTGAATCAAATTAAATGGCAATTGTTTTGAACTGAATTGACTAACTTTCCTCGTGTTCATTAAAATGTGTTTTTCTTTATTGATTGTAAACATACGGGGAAAATAAACATAGATCTGTGATTCTGAGATAATTTCTGACAAGAATAAGCAGTTTGTGGTCGAATTTGACGAAGTTTATATTTTTGTAGAAAAATGGTGGAGGCGCCGGGTTATTAATTAATTTTGAAACCGTTTATTTCAAGAGTCTTTAAGAAATGATTTCATCAAATGATGGATTTTAGAAGCAATTATGCTTTTCTTTAAGCATCTTTACATTTAAACTCAAACAACAAATCTAGCACAGCTTTGAATCAAATTAAATGACAATTGTTTTGAGCTGATTTGACTAACTTTCCTTGTGTTCATTAAAATGTGTTTTTCTTCATTGATTGTAAACATACGGGGAAAATAAACATAGATCTGTGATTCTGAGATAATTTCTGATATGAACAAGCAGTTTGTGGTCGAATTTGACGAAGTTTATATTTTTGTAGAAAAATGGTAGAGGCGACGGGTTATTAATTAATTTTGAAACTGTTTATTTTTAGTGTCTTTAAGAAATGATTTCATCAAATGATGGATTTTAGAAGCAATTATGCTTTTCTTTAAATATCTTTACATTTAAACTCAAATAACAAATCTAGGACAGCTTTAGATCAAATTAAATGACAATTGTTATGAACTAATTTGACTAACTTTACTTGTGTTCATTAAAATGTGATTTTCTTCATTGATTGTAAACATACGGGGAAAATAAACATAGATCTGTGATTTTGATATAATTTCTGTTAAGAATAAGCAGTTTGTGGTCGAATTTGACGAAGTTTATATTTTGTAGAAAAACGGTGGAGGCGCCGGGTTAACAATTAATTTTGAAACCGTTTATTTCTAGAGTCTTTAAGAAATGATTTCATCAAATGATGGATTTTAGAAGCAATTATGCTTTTCTTTAAGTATCTTTACATTTAAACTCAAATAACAAATCTAGGACAGCTTTAGATCAAATTAAATGACAATTGTTATGAACTAATTTGACTAACTTTACTTGTGTTCATTAAAATGTTTTTTTCTTCATTTCTTGTAAACATATGGTGAAAATAAACACCGAACTTTGATTCTGAGAAAATTTCTGATAAGAATAAACAACTTGTGGTCGAATTTGATGGACTTTATATATATTTTTTTTTAGAAGAATGGTGGAGGCGCCGGGTTAATAATAATTAATTTTGAAATCGTTTACTTCAAGAGTCTTTACGAAATGGTTTCATCAAATGATGAATTTTAGAAGCAATTATGCTTTTCTTTAAGCATCTTTACATTTAAACTCAAATAACAAATCTAGCACAGCT